GTTACATAAGGCTCCTTGTATTTCACCTGTGGAGCAACAGTCACACACTGTAGCAAAACAAGCAAGACTATGTCTGGATCTGGAGCAAAGGAGAAATCTTTACCACACTTACCCCACTGAAGTTCTTAAGAACACTGTCCACTTGATACTGTGGAGTCTCACAATAGTTAATGCTTACTCCTTTTGCTTTTTCATATGGTTCCTTATATAGTCTCTGCAAGAATGAAAAATAAAGGAGGAAGTGTTATAGGAAGTCATGTGGAAAATGTCATTTGTGAATTCATAATTAGAATGGGCACATAAAAGCTATCTTTCTGGCTTAATTCCAGGCTATAGATTAGCAAAGGGTTTCTCTCCAAGAGTAGCAAGGCAGGTGTTTATGGGAAACCCAAATTAGGTTATAAATAAAATGGCAAGGATACTTCATATCAATTAACAATAGCTATTAATGTTCTGTGTAAGCAGCTTTCCGATATGGATGTTCCATTTAGCTCATTTATGATTTAACATGTTGATGTCCATGATTTATTTTAGTTGAAACATATTTTTCATCAGACAACTGGCTACTTAACTTGATTCTGAATAAATTAGGATAATTGGGATAATTATATAAATATTTATTATAAAGCTGGAGGTTCCCAATTTGATAATCATAAAAATATTAACAAATTACTGAAGGTGCGTATGGTCCTCTCTACTAGCTATTAGAACAGTAAAACTGTAGATTATAGTTTTTAAAAAATGATGTGAGAATTCTTATTTCACTTATTTCACTTTTTCTTGTGTTATAGCTCTAGAACAAAAGTGTCACACTTGCAGGCTGCAGGCCAGATGCATCACATGCTGGCCATGCCCACCCGGTTTAGCAAAGGGGGGAAAATGTTGAATATGTCATGTGACAACAGCATGACGCAATGAGTTTGACAACCCTGCTCTAGAATACAGGGAGGAAAAAAAAAAGCTGTACTACATCATCACAAAGATTCTAATATGCCACAAACTCCATTTTCACTTTACTGTAATTTGGGTTTACTTACGTCACTTTGCAGTTTCCCCACTTTCAGAGAATGTAAGATCTTGGGATCATCCTGGACACTCAAGGCTCCAATAAGCTTCCCTTTGCTCTTTTCATAGCCTTTCTTATACTCAACCTACAAGGGGACATTGGAATAAAATACTTGCATATTGCATAGGTTCAAACTTTGTATGCATATTGAATGCTAAAGGTTACCCTCGTTACTCTGTCCAACACTTACATCACTCGTGATTTTCTGTTTTGCTTTCGCAGCCAGAATCGGGATAGCATCCATTTTGATATCAAACTTCTTTGCTTTTGATTGATCCCAATCATACTTATACCAATTCTAACAAAGAGAGAAGAAGAAAATAAAGTGGGTCAACTTGAACTTTATCTGTAACCATACCTCAGTTTGATTGACAAAATGAAAACATTCTTCAAGTTAAGGGCAAACATTTCTAGCCAACTGAAATATAAATCCTAACCTTTCTATATGCTACTATGAAATACTACTAAATATATAATCGCTTTTTAAAATTTGGAACTTGTTAAGAAAAAGCCTCTTAGGAGATGAACAGTATACGATATGCAGACACATGATGTAACCAATTTATCCTCTGCAGTACTTGAACACAAAGGCACAATCAAGTTCTTTATCAGCACCTGATCCTTGCCTCAAAACCAAGCTGTGATTTATGACATAATTGGAGATGTGTTTGCTGAATCACACATTCTTCCATAATATTCCCAACAACTGCTTTTAGATCTATTTTTTTCCAGGTTGTGTTAAGTCTGCACAACTTGATTAGACTCTTTCCCTATCATTCCTGCTACCTTTTTCCTTTCTCCTGACCCATATAGTCTTTCCTAAATACTTGTTGAAGTTTTGTTTTCTTTTTTACCTATCTTATGTCATAATTTTGACAAGCTTCATTCTTCTTCCCCAACAATCAATATGTTCTGTACTCCTTTCTCTGTGGTTCTAAAATTAAGTTAGTTCTCTTTTCCAGTTTAATGCCCTTGCTCACACCGACTATGGATTATGAAAGAAGCCCAGTGTCTTCAGAAGACATTCATAGTCTTACCCCTTGCTTACCTGATTGATATCACACTGCAATGTTTTAGATTCCTGCCCTATTATCCTACTAGAAATAGTAAATTTCACGTAATTGAGTCAAAACTTAAATTATATATCACTCTAACTGCAAAATTATCACCAGTCTTATACTTACATCACTGATGTTATAAGCATTGACTCTGGACTGAAGGAAAACTGGAGCATCAGGAGGTATGGAACATCTGGATTTTTCAGCCTCATGTTTGGCTTTGTAGTTCATCTGAAATACAAAATGAGTTACTGAGGACTTAAAAAGCAACTTTGTGGGGATGTATAAAAATGCCACACAAACACACTGTTCAGAAGACAGATTATTTCTCAACAGTGTGCCACATATGTATCTAATGTCAGAGACTGACATCTAATGTCTGCTAGTATCTGCACAGCAGAGGAAAAGAGTTTCTTAGCACCATCAGATTAAGAATGTCTTTGACTTTCAGTGGCTCAGCAATCAAAAATGATCACTTTCATTTTGCAAAAACTGACTCTAGTCAAGTATCAACCTGTAGTTCCTGACAATGCCTTCCAATCACTTAACATTATTGCAATGTTCAGTCCCTGGAAGTCCCAAATAACCGTGGGCTCTTTGTCAGGCAACTTAGCAGAAAATACAAAAGCATGCAAAGCCTTACGTCACTCAGCTGCTTGGTATTAATCTGTGCTTGTAGCAAAACTGGAGAATCCGACACTGAAGTAAACTTGATCTGGTCAGGAGGCTTTTTGTAGGCAGACTAGGGAGAAAAAGTTTTTAAAATTCAGCGGCAATTAATTTTTGGTAGACATCAAGTTTATGATTTTATAATTCATGATACGTTTTATGAAAGTCCATTGTGTTACCATCATCCATGCAGCCATTCAGCAAAAGTACTGTTGGAGAAGGTAGCATTTAAATTGACAGTATTTGCTATATGAAGTTTGAATTCAGTTCTTGTGCCACCAGCCATACTTCAGATATTTTTGGATCATATAATATATTTTATTTTATTTATTGTTTTAAGAATTTCATGAAATAATAATAATAATTGAGACATTTATATTTTTTTAGTTCTGAAAATCATACATAATATAACCTCACTAGAACAATGACTTACATCCTTGCACACATCCAGCTTCTTCATGACTTCATATTCTGGAGTTACAGTTTGAGGGAAATAACATTTAGCTTTGTCATCTTCGTAGTCCGCTTTATAGTTTTTCTAGAGAAACCATCAGAATTCAATAAGTACCATGAACTGAATAAGGGGGTTGGGGGAGAGAAATAGGTACAACTCATACTTACATCGCTCTTCATAGCTTCAATCTTCTTACAATGCACTTGATAGGGGTCCTCAAAAGTGCCTATGTACCGTCCCAAGACTTTGGTTACATAAGGCTCCTTGTATTTCACCTGTGGAGCAACAGTCAC